GTTCAGGCAATTCTCCTGCCTCAGCCTCCTGAGTAGCTGGGATTACAGGCACACGCCACCAGGCCCAGCTGATTTTTTGTATTTTTAGTAGAGATGGGGTTTCACCATGTTGACCAGGATGGTCTCGATCTCTTGACCTCGTGATCCACCCGCCTCGGCCTCCCAAAGTACTGGGATTACAGGCGTGAGCCACCGCGCCCGGCCTCCAGACTCTTTTTTAACAACCCATTCTCATAGGAGCTAATAACCCATTCCCTGGAGAACACCCTTGACCTAGAGGGAGGGCATTAATCTATTCCCGACATATCGGCTCCCAAGACCCAAACACTTCCCACTAGACCTCACCCCCCAATACCACCACGAAGGGGATAAAAATTCAACATGAGTTTTGGTGCGGACAAACCATATCCAAACCACAGCACACGGCAATTCTGATGAGTTTATTGAGTTTGAGATGCCTGTTTTCTCCTGCAATGGGCAAGTATTAATTTACAGGTTAAGGTGCTGTAAAAAAGAAGCTCCCCCGGAAAATACAATAGTTCAAACAAGATAGAAGTTGATTTCTTTCTCTCATAACAGCCTGGAGGTAGGTTTATGGCCCAGGGTGAAAAGGAAACTCTGTCCTTTGAGATCATTCAGGGATCCAGTTTCCTTCCGTCTTGTTTCTCCATCACACCTGAGTCAGTTGTTCACAAAGTGTCTTCCTTGGACAAACAGCATCAGCAAATTCTCAGTCCCATCCCTAATCTACTAAAGCAGAAGTTAGGAATGGAGTCCAGGAGTGTGTGTTTTTTAACATTTAAAAAATGGTGGTAATATACACATAAAATTTACCATCTTAACCCAAGTATACAGTTCAGTGGCATCCAGTATATTCACATCATTGTGCAACCATCACCACTACCTATCTCCAGAACTTTTTTCATTTTCCAAAAATGAAACTCTACATTTACTGGACAGTAACACCTCATTTCCTCCTCCCTGCAACCCTGGCAACCACATCAATCTACTTTCTGTATCTATGAATCTGACTACTCTATTTACCTCATGTAAATGGAATCATACAGTATTTGTCCTTTGTGACTCACTTATTTAACTTAACATCTTCAAGGTTCATTTGTGTTGTAGGATATGTCAGAATTTTCTTCCTTTTTAAGGCTGAATAATATTCCATTGTATGTACATACCGTATGTATTCATTCATCCATAGACGGACACCTGAGTTGTTTCTACTTTTTGGCCACTGTAAGTAATCCCACTATGAATGTGAGTATACAAACATCTCTTTGATTCTTTAGGGTGGAACTGCTGGACCATATGGAAATTACATTTTAATTTTTTTGAGGAACTGCCATATTGTGCAAATTATCTCTTAACAAGCCCTGAAGGTGATTATGATGCATGCTAACATTTGAGAACCACTGTTTTAAGGTAGTGTCTTCATTTGTAGGATGAAGATTAACTGAGGTCCATGTCCATGTCCTAACTCACAGGAAGAAGGAAAGAGAGAAAGTGGAGGCAAGCAATATTCTTTAAAGTAAGTAATATAAAGGTTACCCAACTCATTTCTGCTGACATTCCATTGGCAAGAAATCTCATGCAAGAGTAACAAAGCTAAAACGTTATTACTGTGGATGAAGATAAAATGATTTTGGGGGACAACAGAGATCTGCCACGGAACTCTTGTTCCTATGTCCCTAATCTTGACTGTGGTATCACCATCCTCCCAGGACTTTACACCAGAAATCTGGAGGTCACCACTGATACCATCTTCCCCCTTATCCTCGACATCTAATCATTAGTTGCATTTGCCGGGTTCCATATCTTGAGTGTATGGTCTTTTCATTCCCACTATTACTGCCTTAGTTCAGGTTACTACTTTTCTTATACATTACATTACTATGGGCTTTTAAATGGCTTCTCTGACTTTATTTACTCACAAACTATTCTTCACACTGCATTCAGAAGCGTTCTTTCTACGCCAAAATTATTCATCTTCTAAAATGAAGATCTAATTAGGTTCACAAGTCCTCTCCTTCTTCACCCATTCCCCATCTCTAAGGTAACGAAGTAGGTCATGGGTAACTCCAAATCACACTTTAAGTTAACCCTAGCCAAAGTACTGAATACAGTGGATTTAAACTTGCTTAGTAAAACTACCTCTAATTTAAATTTAGGTATAAATTTGGCTTCTGTGAAAGCCACCCCAAAGTATAAATATAGTGTAAGTACAGGTATTTGGGCTTACAAAGTATCAATGTTATGACGGAAAAATTGGCAAGTTTTTTGTTTTGCCTCTTAGTTGAGCTCTCTTTCTCTAACAAATGGAAATAAAGAGAAGCACACAAATTCAAGAAAGGGGAATCTAAGAAGAGACTGAGGACATTGTGGCTTTCAAAAAGGAGAGAACATTTTACATGATATGAAGGAAATGTCACCTCATCACCAATAATTCACTCTATTCAACAGATATGTACACCCTTCAGCAAATGCTCCTAGGGACGAGAGGGGAGTCTCATCTAACAGTCTCTATCACACTCTTTCTAAAATAAATACCTAATACTTAAAATAGTCTAAAGAACACACTGGCTACTCATACCTCCCATAGGCAGAGATCTTGTCTTTTTTGTTCTGCTGTATCTCAGGTGATCAGCAATCACTTAGTAGATGCTAATATATTTGTAAATTCCTCTGGAGTCTCTAAAGACCATATCATGAATAATAAATTCAAATACCTATAGGAGTCGGGCAGGTGATATGCATGAGTAAATAGAGTCATTTAGGGCCGGGTGCGGTGGCTCAAGCCTGTAATCCCAGCACTTTGGGAGGCCGAGGCGGGTGGATCACAGGGTCAGGAGATCGAGACCATCCTGGTCAACATGGTGAAACCCCGTCTCTACTAAAAATGCAAAAAGTTAGCTGGGCATGGTGG